GCCTCACAGCTCTAGGGATCCAGGTCAATTCCAGCCTCTGGTGACTGTCTGTGTGGAGTTTGCACATTCTCCCCGTGTCTGTGTGGGTTTCCTCCGGGTGCTCAGGTTTCCTCCCACAGTCCAAAGATGTGCAGGCTAGATGGATTGGCCATGCTAAATTCCATAGTGCCTGGGGATGTTTAGGTTGGGTGGGTTAGACATGGGAATGAAGAGGTAGGGGAATTGGTCTGGGTGGGATGCTCTTCAGAGGGATGGTGTGGACATAGAACATAGAACAATACAGCATAGTACAGGCCCTTCGGTCCACGATGTTGTGCTGAACTTTTACCCTAATCCTAAGGTCTATCTAACCTCCACCCCTACCTTTTATACTATCATCCATATGCCTATCTAATAGTCGCTTAAATGCCCTAATGAGGCTGACTCCACTACCCTCTCCGGCAATGCATTCCATGCACCTACCACAGAGTACCTCTGATGTCTCCCCTATATCTACCTCCACTCACTTTAAAACTATACCCCCTCGTAATAGCTACCTCCACCCTAGGAAAAAGTCTCTGGCTGTCTACTGTATCTATACCTCTGATCATTTTGTACACCTCTATCAAGTCACCTCTCATCCTTCGTCTTTCTAAAGAGAAAAGCCCTAGCTCTTATTGGGCCGAATGGCCTGTTTCCATACTGTAGGGATTCTATGAATTTTAAGGAAAAAGAGAGGAGGATGCCCCACTTACCTCCGAGGTGGGAGAAGTTAGGGGACGTGCGATAGTTTAGTGGTTAGCATTGAGGTCTCACAGCACCAGAGACCTGGGTTCAGTTCCACCCTCGGGTGACTGTCTGTGTGGAGTTTGCACATTCTCCCTGTGTCTGCGTGAGTTTGCTCTGGTTTCCTCCCACAGTCCAAAGATGTGCAGGCTAGGTGGATTGGCCATGGGAAATGCAGGGATACTGTAGGTTGGTGGGATACACTTCAAAGGGTCAATGTGTGACTCAATGGCCTGCTTCCACACTGTAGGGTTTCAATAATTCCGAGTTATTTGGTTTGGAATTCTCAACCGCAGGGGGCTGTGGAGATCCTGTTTTTTGATAGATTTCTGATTACTAATGGAGTAGGGGGTCATGGGGATGGGTCCGTAAAAAGCGTCAGTGTTTGACCATGATGTTTGGTGTGGATAAGTTTTTTTTTCATACTTTTTTTGCAGATGGGAATATGAACATCAACCAGGGTTCCTGCTTCTGTGTGTGGGGGGCATGTTATGCAATATATAGGGGATGCTGTTTAAGAATAAGTTAGAAATGAGGTGAAACCCTCAAAAGGTCTTTAGTCTGTGGAATTCATTCCACTGAAAGCAGTGGATCCCACTGGGTCATTCAGTTCCAAAGGTGGAATTAAATGGATGTCGAGTGGAAAAGGGAGTTGGGAATTCTGGGCTACAGACAGAAAAGTGGAGTTGAGGCCAAAACCAGTGCAGCCATGATCATATTGAATGGTGGAGCAACATTGAGGGGCCGAAGGGTCTACTCCAGCCCTTAAGTCCGATGTACATGTCAGTGCCTGTGCTTGTGCATCAGACCCGGAAATGCTTATGATGTCCACTTCGTTGTCGAACAGCTCATAGCTTCCTAACCTGTGTGTGGATGTGGTGTAGGCATCCATAGCTAGAGCAAAGGCCCAGGGAGTAGGGTGAGCTGAATTCCTCTTGCAAAGAGCTAGCATGGATATGATGGGCCAAAGGGTTTCTTTCTGCACCATCCACGTTCTACGATACTACAATGTGACTTTGAGGGAAGCAGTGTTTGCTGTTTCTAGCACTGCACCTGCTTTCTGTGTATTTTCATGGTGCGGCTGTGGCTAAGTACTGGACAGTTCACTCGTCTTTATGCTGGAACTGAATTTGGAGCCCACCTGTGTTTTGTGTGCATACCAATTATTTAGTAACAGTAACATTTGCGAAGTTTATTCCACTCTGCAGATGGTTAGTTTACTGTGCTGGTAGCTAATATAGAATGCAATGGAATGTGTTCCCTGTATCTATTGTGGATTTTGACTCTAGTCCATCCAGTATTTCATTCTTTCCTGGACATGGGCATCTCCAGCTGGGCCCAGCATTTATTGCCCGCCCCTAGTTGCCCTTGAAGATGGTGGTGAGCTGCCTTCTTGAACCGCTGCAGTCCATGTCTTGTAAGTTGATCCACAATGCCCTTAGGGAAGGAGTTCCAAGATTTTGACCCAGTGACACTGAAGGAACAGCGATATATTTCCAAGTCAGGATGGTGAGTGGCTTGGAGGGGAGTTTGAAGGTGGTGATGTTCCCATGTATATGCTGCCTTTGTCCTTCTAGCTGGTAGTGACCATGGGTTTGGAAAGTGCTGTCTCAGGAGTTGTGGTAAATTTTGTGGGTGCAGTGTTACAGACACCACTTGCTCATTCATGCTTCACACAATGGTCAGTATTTTGAGTGCCAAGACATCTGTCTGTCTGTCTGTCTGTCTGTCTGTGTTGTGGAGCTGGATCCTGACCTTGGTTCACATCCAGTTGGAATTCCCTGTGGGAATCACAGAACAACAGTTGGAAATGGGAACATGGGCATTTGTGGAATCACACAGCCACCTTGACTGAGACTTTGGGATTGGGAATCCAACCCTTTTTGGTGTAGCTTCACTGTGTGGGCAGGTGTTTCCTCAGATGAACTGGGGTGGAGGGGCACAATGGGGAGAGGGGAAAAGCAACCTGCCCTGTGTTTTTAAGTAATGAGCTCTCTGGGCCCTAAGATCTGGAATTCCATCCTTGAAGCTTTCCCATTCTCCACCTCCCTTTAAACGTCACTGTACTTATATTGGCTTTCTCTGAACTTGGGTGTTGAAAGTTTACGATAAAAATCCGGCTGCCCTATGTTGTCATGTACTTCCCAGCTGCCTTAGGCTCAGGAGTTCCCTCCCATAAAACCTCTACTGTTGTTAAGACCCTCCTTAAAACCATTTCTGACCAACGTTTTGGCTGTCTGCCCCAATATCTCCTTTTGAGGCTTGGTGCCAAACTTTGCTTTGTAATGCTCCTGTGAAAATATTTTATTGTTGCATCAAAGGTGGCGCTATATACTGTTGTTGTTGTGGCTCTAAGCACATTATGAAAGCCCTGCTCTGCCCATCTCTCTCTCATTTTGGGCATGGTGACTAACTGCACAATGCAGTTGTCACATCTTGACCTTCTCCCCCTCCTCACCCCTCAAAGACCATCAATCTCCTTCCTCAATGACCGCCCCCCCGCCTCCCCCAATCACTGGGGTATCAAGGAACCTGCATCTTCTCTCCTTTTGACATCTCACTGCCCACAGCTCACCCTCCATCTGTGGACACCTGCAGAAGACCCGGACATGTAGCCTGAGCGAGAAGGTGCTACACCAATGCAGCCCCTTTCTTCAGCTCAAAGAGCTTCCCGGGGCCATTTTGAAGTACTGCCAGGTGGAAGAAGTGTTGTGATCTGGAATTGTGTGGGTGGGTTAGTAGGAACTCAGTTGTGCTGAGTATCAGCAACCTGAGTCACATGCAGATGATTGGGAGCAGAGAATTTAGACGTTAGTACGTCAGCACTGTGGTATCCACTTCTGCAGTTAACGGAGACAAGAGAAAAAAGAATAACTGGCTCGCTAGCCCCAGTTTATTGCAACTGGGTGTGGTATCTCCACCCCACTCCCCCAGGTTTCCTGACCACCTACAGCACCTTCTGTAGGAGGGAATCACCAGAGCTTGCTGGTGTTCTGTGTAATGGTGATTGGGAAAGGCAAGCCACTGTGGATTGAGGAAAGGTTTCAAGGGTATTAAATGGGTGGGGGGGAAAGGTTAAAGAGAGGGAAGGAGGAAGGGGGGCAAGAGAAGTGAGAGGTTGAGGGTGTGGAAGATGGGAAATTGAGGGGAGGGGAGGGGAGGGGGGGCTGACAAGGCGAGGAGGTGAAAAGCTGGAGGATTGGCATGAGGGTGGGGTGCAGGAGCGAGTGGGAAGTCATGCAAGAAAGAGAGGGGTGGAAGGTGGAGAGTGGGGAGAGAGAGGGTGGGGGCATGTGAGGAAGGGGAAGGTGGAGAGAGTTTAGGGAAGGGAGGAGAGGAGTGGAGAGTGTGTGTTGAAGTAAGTGACAGAGAAAGGGAAACAGGGAACAAGGGGAGGGGGGATTGAGAGCACAGAGGGAATGGAGAAGGGAGTCAGAGAGAAGGTGAGGGAGGAGATGGGGGAAGAGGAAGGAGAGAGAGAGAGAGACCAAGAAAGACTGAAGGTGAGGTGGGGGTGAAACAAAGTGAGAGGGGGAAGGGAAAAGAGAGGGAGAGTTGGGGGAAGAGGAGAAAGTGGATGGGGAATGGGAGGGAGAGAGACAGAGATGTGGGGGGTGGGGGAGCAGCTGGAAGAGCTCAGGTGAATCCTTCCTAAAGCTGCCCCTGGATATTCTCAATTCAATCTTTCATTCATGGAAATATGTACATTTAATACTCAAACCAAATACCCCCACCACAATAAAAATTGTAAAAGGGGTGCCCCTGAGCTGATCAGTGTACGTATGCAGCTGACTCAGTGTACTGTCAACATTTATCATTTTGTTTTTTTTAAAAAAAGAAGTAATAAAACTTCCAGGTGTCAGCCCTGGCTGTGTCAGCACTGCTGGTTTATTTATTTTTGGTGCGGTTGGGGGGGTTTGGTTTGACTGTGTCTGGGGGTCGCTTGTCAGTGAAACCCTGAGCGGGGCCCTGTAGCTATTTCTGTGCGTGGATATGCATCAGCGCTGGGTATTTTCTCTGGTGACGAGTTTGTATGAGGAGCGCCTTGCAGGCTGACACTAGCCCAGTCACAGGCTGCCCTTATGATTGATAACAGCCCCTGGTGTTTGCTGCTCGCTTCTCGCGAGTGACCTCAGAGGACAAACGAGGAATCTCCTGGATGCCAATGAAATGATTAAAGATTAAAGCCGTCGCTGTGCCTGTAAACATAGATTGTCAATTTATCTCCCTTGCAGAGAATGCCCCAGCCTTTGGTTTTACGATAAGGGGACTCGGAAAGTGCTGTCGTTTCACTGAGCTATGCAAACTGGCTTTTAATGGAATCTCCAAGGTAATTGAACGCGTTTATTTCTCCTGTTTTTTTTTATGCTCGACTCCAGTCTTGTTGTCTGTGTGGATGAGATAATTGGTTTTTTTAACCCAGTCATTTTGTTATAACCTCAGCCAACTTTTTTTCTTGAGACTTGTTTGACAAACCAATGTGGATAGGAGCGGAGTTCTTATTAATTTTTATCACCCTCGAATTTCATAGTATTTTTGTTTTGAACAAGCTGCCGTCATCGTGTTGGAGCTAGTATCTATCATGTTCTTATAAGCTGCAACTTCATGTTTTTTTTCTCTCTCGTTTGCTGAGGCAAGAGGATATAGTGTGCTAAGTTTCCTCTGATCTGGTTAACTGCAGTAATGTTGGTGAAAATGTTTGTCAGTATGTTTTTTTTGTATTTCTGTGAGGTGTTGAAATTATGCATCAGTTATCCGTTGCGAAGTTTCACGGAAAGAGAGAGAGAAGCTACAAGACCTGTTTGGAGTCGGTTTAAGCATGTTTCTGCCTCGTTCATGTCTCTGAAAAGTCTTGTCCGCTTTCTCTGGAAACCTTCCTGAGCTCTCAGCTCACCTCTTCCTGGGAACACTTCTCTTATTTGAATCGTGAACATTGCAGCCTCAAACTATCTCCGGGTGCATTGTTCCTATTCCTGCTCCCAGCTCTTCCCCAAAGCCAATATCTCACTTGTCCTCTCTGTTATCCCCTGGATCAGTGTCACTATTCCCCTGACGTCAGCGTTTGTCCAGAATAACCTTGGGGTCAGTGTCCAGTGTTTCCCCCAGGGTCTGTCAGTGTCCATAATATCCCTAACCTTAGTCTTTGTCCAGTGTCTCCTGGGATGAGAGTCCACTATTCCTCAGGGTCAGTCTTTGTGATAAATAAGTTTCAGTTCAACTGTATCCTGCCATTTTCCCATCTGATACAGCCCTTTACTAATTTGCTTGAAGATTTAGTAAAATTAAATTCTCTGTTAAAATGAAACTAAGCAGCATTAACAGCATTGGCAAAACGGTGAAATGAAATGCTTAAAAATGTAATTATTGGATACATTGACTGAAGTCTACAATCTGAGAGAAAGAATTGTTGGTTTATTTTATACGTTGTATGTGACCTATCAGCTGCTTTAGCAACATGAAGCTGCTGTTATTTTTGTTTCACTTCTTTCATTCTTGAGTTCCAGTAGTACAGTAATTGGTGCACAGTTTATTTCCTCTGAGTGGGAGGGACAGTGATAGCAGCTGGTGTTTCTGATTTTGATTCGACAGTGATGGGCACTGGTCTGTCGGTGTATACAGCGGCGTTACACCGTTCGAGGCAGGTTAGCCTGTTGGTTTGGACAGTGTGCTGTCGTAGGAGTGATGATGGACAGTATAGTGACCAGTGGCTGTAAACGGCGTCTGTTCTCTCTCCCTCCCACTACCCTGCACGTTAGCCTACTGCCTGCTCGCAACGGCTTTACTCAGCAAATAATGACACTCCAAAGCCGAGTGCTTTTCTCCACAACAACAATCTGCATTTTCATTCTTCTTTATTCTCTTGTGGGATGTGGATTTTGCTGGCTGGGCCAGCATTTATTGCCTGCCCTTAATTGCCCTCTAGATTGTGGTGCTGAACTACCTTCTTGAGCTGCTGCAGTCCATGTGCTGTGGGTAGACCCTCCGTGTTGACAAAGATTTTGACCCAGCGACAGTGAAGGAACGACGATATATTTCCAAGTCAGGATGCTGAGAGGCTTGGAGGGGAACCTGCAGGTGATGGTGTTCCCATACACCTGCTACCCCTGTCCTTCTGGATGGAAGTGGTCGTTGTGCTGTCTAACAATCTTTGGTGAATTTCTGCAGTGCATCTTGTAGATAGTACACACTGCTGTTACTCAGCGTCAGTGGTGGAGGGATTGGATGCTTGTGGATGTGGTGCCAATTAAGTGGGATACTTCTTTTGTCCTGGATGGTGTTAAGCTTCTTGAGTGTTGTTGGACCTGCACCCATCCAGGCAAGTGGGGTGAATTCCATCACACTCCTGACTTGTGCCTTGTAGATGGTGGACAGGCTTTTAGGAGTCAGGAGGTGAGTTTCTCGCTGCAGTATTCCTAGCATCTGACCTGCTCCTGTAGCCATTGTGTCTATGTGGTGAGTCCAGTTGAGTTTCTAGTCAATGGTAACCCCACAAAATGTTGATAGTGGGGGATTCAATGATGGAAAAACCATCAAATTGTCAAGGGCCAGTGGTTAGATTGCCTCTTATTAGGGATGGTCATTACCTGGCATTCGTGTGGTGTCAATGTTATTTGCTACTTGTCAGCCCAAACCTGGATATTGTCCAGATCTTGTTGCATTTGAACGTGGACTGTTTCAGTGTCCAAGAAGTCACGAATGGTGCTGAACATTGTACAATCATCGGCGAACGTCCCCACTTCTGACCTTATGGTGGAGGGAAGGTCATTGATGAAGCAGCTGAAGATGGTTGGGCCCAGGACACTACCCTGAGGAACTCCTGCCAGAGATGTCCTGGAGCTGAGATGACTGACCTCCAACAACCACAACCAACTTCCTATGTGCCAGGTATGTCCCCAATCAGCAGGGAGATTGCCCCCTGATACACACCGATTCCAGATTTGCTAGGGCTCCTTGATGCCACACTCAGTTTAATGCAGCCTTGATGTCAAGGGCGGTCACTCTCACCTTGCCTCTAGAATTCAGCTCTTTTGTCCACGTTTGAACCAAGTCTGTGATGTGATCAGGAGCTGAGTGACCCTGGTGCAACCCAACCTGGGCGTCACTGACCTGATTGATGACCCCTTACACCACTTTACCGATGAAACCACTTTACTGATGACCAAAAGTAGACTGGGGCAGGATTTGGCTGGGTTGTATTTTTATGTACAGGACATACCTGGGCAATTTTTCACATTGTCGGGCAGAGCTTGTCTAAGAGAGTGGCAAGTTCTGGAGCACAGGTCTTTGGTACTATTGCTGAAATGCTGTCAGGGCCTGTAGCCTTTGCAGTATCCAGTGTCTTCAACTGTTTCTTGATATCATGTGGAATGGCTGAAAATTGGTATGTGACGCTCGGACCACTGGAGGAAGCTGAGATGGTATCCACTCGGCTCTTCCCATCATTGAGGATGGGGATATTTGTGGAGCCTCCTCCTCCAGAGAGTTGTTTAATTGTCCACCACCATTCACGACTGGATGTGGCAGGACTGCAGAGCTTAGATCTGATCCGTTGGTTGAGGGATCACTTAGCTCTGTCTATCACTTGATGCTTTCGCTGTTTGGTAGCTTCACCAGGCTGACTGTATACTGTTGTGTGACAGGACATGTCCAGGGACATAGCCTGTACGGTATGATGCAATGAATGTGACTGTCAGGCTATAGCCTTACTTGTCTGCAAGACTGCTCTCTGCCAATTTTAGCACTAGACCCCAGATGTTAGTAAGACGGACTTTGCAGGGTCAACAGGGCTGTTTCTACCATTGTCTGTTCTGATGCTTAGGTCCATCTGGTTTCATTTCTATGTTGAGACTTCATAGCGATTGAAACAACTGAGCTACATCTATGTGGGTCTGGAGTCAGGTGTAGGCCAGACCAAGTGAGGAATGTAGATTTCCTTCCCTGAAGGACATCAGTGAGCCAGATGTTTCTCAATTCCAGATTTTTCTTTTCAATTATTGGCTTCAAATTCCACCATCTGCTCTGGCAGGATTCGAACTCTGATCCCTGAAACGTTAGCTGAGTTTCTGGATTAATAGTCTCGCGATAGTAGCACTCAGTTGTCTTCTCCTCCTATCCTATTTTAAACGTCTCCGGGTGCATGCTCAAACAAAATTTGATATCAAACAGCACAAGCTCGTAACAGAGCACAGCTGGTTCACAGAAGCATGCCTTAAAGGAGGAGAGAGGGTGAAGCAGAGACAGAGGCTTAGGGAGGGAATTCCAGAATTTAGACCCAAGGTATCTGAAGGCATGACCGTCGGTGGTCAGGCTATCAGATTCTGGAACGCGTTAGGAGGCCAGAAATGGAGAAGTCCAAAGGACACAGCAGGTGTGCCTCAGACAGGATGAACTCCCAGAGTTGTGTGTGTGTGTATAAGGCCTAGGAAGGTTGGAAGAGTGTGGGATTTGTAGGCTCACCAAAGATAAGAGCAGTGAAGGGGGCACAGTGCTTTAGAGTCATCAAAAGTTGAACAATTTTGTAAGGGCTTGGGAAGGGGTGATGTAAAGGCGTTAATAGCAGTAGTGTGGACTTTAATGGAGGACGGTCATCTTCCTGAAATTAAGTTCTTGTCCCATCAAGATGAGACACTTCAGGGTTTACTGAAGATCATACAGCTAAAGCGCCTTGAGGAAATATCATGAGCATCATCTTTCAGAGCAGCCTTGACTCTCCTCGTTTCGAAGAAGAGTTATTCCCCACTGTCTTAGCCAATACACACACCTCAATAAACATCACTAAACATCCAGATAATTTGGTAATTCCTCATGTTTGCTGTGCTCGAATTAGCCGTCTCTTTGTTTCTTCCCCAGCACGGCACGTGTGACCAAACTTCAACATTGCTCCCTGGGTTGTAAAGCACATTTTGTATCTGCTGAGGTTGTGAATAGGGTGCTTTGTAAATGCAATTTTATTTTGTGTGAGAATGAAGTTGTGCAGTGCATGGTGAAATCTCTGCACCTGTCATAGCTAGTTTCTAACTACTATCTTCTGTCATGATGAAACTATTTTTGTGCAGTGTGAACTACAAAGCTTCTCTGTTATAATGAATCTGTACCTGTTTATAATGTAAATTTTGGAGTTGTAAATGTCTTTTAGGTGTATGTCAGAGAGCGTGCATGTACAGTAGAGGCCAGTGAGAACCAGCAGTTGCCTTCCAATCTGCACGCTGTTTGTTTAAATTGATATCAAAGAGAAGAATTTATTTAACTGTGTCCAAGGATGAACAGCAGGTTAAGTTCACTGGAGATGATGAAATGCTTCTGGCTGTGGTAGCACAGTGGGCGTATCGTTACCTCTTGCCAAGGTTCAAAACTGGACAAACGTTTTGGCATTGCATTTTGGTAAAGCAAATCAGGGCAGGACTTGTACGCTTAAGGCCCTGGGGAGAGTTGTCAAACCGGAGATCTAGGGGTGCAGGTTCATAGTTCCTTGAAACTGGAGTCACAGATAGTGTAGTGAAGGTGTTTGGTACGCTTGCCTTTATTGGTCAGTGCATTGAGTATAGGAGTTGGGAGGTTATGGTGCGGCTGTGAAAGACAGTTAGGCCATTTTTGGAATACTGCGTTCAATTTTGGTCTCCCTGCTATAGGAAGGATGTTGTGAAACTTGAAAGGGTGTAGAAAAGATTTACAAGGATGTTGCTGGGGTTGGAGGGTTTGAGCTATAGGGAGAGGCTGGGGCTATTTTCCCTGGAATGTCAGGGCTGAGGGGTCACCTTACAGAGGTTTATAAAATCATGAGGGACATGGATAGGGTGACTAGCAGAATAGGATAAGCTCAAAACTAGAGGGCATGGGTTTAAATTAAGAGGGGGAAGATGTAGAAGGGACCTAAGGGGCAACTTTTTCACGCAGAAGGTGCTGCATGTATGGAATGAGCTGCCAGAGGAGGTGGTGGAGGCTGGTACAATTACAACATTTAAAAGACTCTGGGATGGGTACATGAATAGGAAGTATTTTAGAGGGATATAGGCCAATTGCTGGCAAATGGGACTAGATTAATTTGGGATATCTGGTCGGCATGGATGAGTTGGAATGATGGGTCTGCTTCTGTGTTGTGTATCTGTATGACTGAGTCAATAGCAGGATAGAATAGGATGGAGGTGGCGATGGGAAGTGTGGGCAGTCTGAACCCAGGTTCAAGACTTGAACCTAGTACTGTAACCATCAATAGTTCAAAACTGTGGGGGCCCCTCGAGCGTGCTCTGCCATTCATTATGATGGCTGATCTTATTTCAGCCTCAACTGCACTTTCCTGCCCATTGTCCATAAACCTTCAACCTATTATTATTAAAAATCTGTTTATCACCTCCAAATTTACTGTGTCCCAGCATTGACTGCACTCTGTGCTAGTTAGTTCCACAGTTTCACAACCCTTTGAGAGAAGTAATTTCTCCTCATCTGTTTTAAATCTGCCACCCCTTATCCTAAAACTACAACCCCTTTGTTCTAGCTTGTCCCACATGAGGAAACATCCTCTCTACAACTACTTTGCCAATCTCCTTTATGTATCAATTAGATCTCCCCTCATTCTTCTACGGCCTAGTGAGTATAGATGTAAACTCCTCAATCTCTCCTCATGAATCAAGTCTTTCATCTCTGGAGTTAATCTGATGACCTTCCCTGAGCTGCCTCCAATACAATTTCCACCTTCATCGAGTTAAGGGATCAAAACTGTACATAGTATTGATTCATTTTGTTCTGCCTGACGACACCATATCCTACTGAATGATGGAGTAGCCTTGAGGGGCTGATTGCGAACACCCTGTTGCTATTTTCTATGGTCTTAAGACATGTATTCTGTGACTCACCTGATTATCAGTTTGTACGCTCTAGTTTTCACAACTCCATCAATCACTTTCATTTTAGGAGCATTGGAGTATGGGAACAGATGTGATTATTTAGCTCCATGTGCGGTTTTGCTATTCATTTAAGTTCAGTTCTGATTCTGTGATCTAAGTCTATATTCTTTCACTGTCGCTGGGTCAAAATCCTGGAATTGCCTCCCTAATAGCATTGTGGGTCAACCCACAGCATACCTTCAAGAAGGCAGCTCACCACCACCTTCTCAAGGTCAACTACGGATGGAAAATAAAAAATACCGGCCCAGCCAGCAACGCCCACATCCCACAAATGAATTTTAGAACAAAACCCCATCACTGCCTCATGTCCAGGATTACCTAAATCTATCAATCTTGTCTTAGCATTTACTTTTGATCTAGAATCAATTGCCCTTTTGCGGAAGAGAGTTCCAAGTTTCTGCTACATTTTGTTTTGCATGAAAAGCAGGTTGGATAGAGTAGAAAGGGAAAACGTGTTCATGCTCTTCAAAGGAACAAGAGTGAGATGGAATCTAAATTTAAATGAATTTTAAGAGTAAGAGATTTAATGTGATGTGCAAACATCACACACAGTAGTTAAGGTGTGGAATGCACTGCCTGGAAATATGGTCAGGGCAGCTTCAGTTGAGCCATTCAAGAGGGGCATGGGTGAATATTTGGATAGAAATAGTGTGGGGATCTGGGGATTGGGGAGGAGATTGGCACTAGGGAATAGAATCAGTGCAGGCTGGATGGGCTGAATGGCCTCCTTCTGTGCAGTAACAATTCTGTGATTCTGTTTTGGAATTTCACACCAGCTCGAATGTTAGAATGTGTGCTCCTCCCTCATTTTACACTCCCTAGATAGCAGAAATAACTTCTCCCAGTCTGCACTGTCAGTCCCCCCCTCACTATGTTACAAAGCTTCAATCAAACAACGCTGTAAGCTTCTAAATTTTGCTCTGTATAATCTCTCCATGAGAATTTTACTGGTCAAGCCGAAACTGCGCACTCTCCCCGAGGCCAGTCCGTACGTCCTTCCTAAGGTGGGGTCGCTGTATTAATAAAACTCCTGCTTAGAAGGGGCAGGGAGAGAAGTTTCTCATTGTGCCTTCCAGTGCCAAGGAATCCCAGGAAAGGCAGTCTCTACGATCCCGCAGGAAAACCTGGCAGCCAATTTGTGCACAGTGAGATCCCACGGAATACTTTCAATTGAAGGATTAACCTATCATTTATGTTTTGAGGAACTGTTCGAAGATTGTTTGGAAGAAGGCACTGGGGGAAAATTACCTTGCTCCTTTCTTCATTTTGCAGTTGTGCCATGTGACGTTGGAACACAGATGATTGGAGTAGGGGGAGGCTATTCAGCCCCTCAAACCTGCTCTACCACTCCATATGATCATGGCTGATCATCGAGCTCAATGCCCTATTCCACCCTCCTCCCATATCCCATAATCCTTTTAGCCAGGAGCCGTATTTACCTCCTTGAAAACACTATATGTTTTGGCCTCAACCACTTTCTGTTGCAGAGGATTCCCTCTGCTCACCACTTTCTGGGTGAAGACATTTCTCCTTATCTCAGTCCTGAAAAGTTTACCCCTTATCCTTTAAACTATGGTCCCTGCTTCTGGACTCCCTTACCATTGGGAACATCCTTCCTGCACCTAATCTGTCTAGTCCTGTTAGAGTTTTATAGGCTTCTATGAGATGCCCCTCATTCTTCTAAACTCCAGTGAATACAATCCTACCCAACTCGATCTGACCTCGTACGCCAGTCCTGCCATCCCGGGAATCAATTTGAGAAACCTTTGCTGCACTCCCTCCATAACAAGAACACCTTCCTCAGATAAGGAGACCAAACTGCACCACAATATGCCAGGTGTGGCCTTGCCAATGTACCTTTTTATTTTTTTAAACACACCCAACTAACCATGAAGGTGAGAAGGAAGATTTTCAAGGCCGCATTCAGAAGACAGACCTTGCAACAGTACAGGAGCCCCTGCAGCACAGCGCCAAGTGACGTGTCTGTGCTCCAGCTCAGTATGGGGCTTTTGAACTCTGAAGGCCAAGTTAACATGGTTACACTGAGACTAATGCACTTTACACAGCACAGTCTCTGGCTTTATAATGACATCCATTAATCAATTGTGCTTGTGGCTAATCATTTCATTGGAATCCTAAATAAAATTACCATCTTGCTGCTGCCTCCTAACTGCGTTGTTATTCAATAAACAAATTTTTGCCATTGTTTCTGCAGAGGGTCAAGAAGGCAGCTCACCACCACCACCTCAAGGGCAATTAAGGACGGGCAGAAATTCTGGCCCAGCCAGCAACACCCATGTCCCTTAAATTAATAAACCAAAAAAAAAATGCAACCTGCTTTGGGGAATGGGCGAATTGATGTTAAATCCCAAGATCAGCCGTGATCATATTGAATGTTAGAGTATATGCTCAATGGACCACTCATCCTTCTGTGTAGGGAGTGGGTGTATGCACAGGCACACTCACGTGAATGGAATTTCAGTCAAGATAGGTTGCGGGCATGATGCGTGACTGAGTGAGTGAAGCTCAGTTGAGATACCGGGGTGACATGCCCTACCCCTGTGACCTCAGAGGAAGTACAGAAGAAGGGAATCGAATAGAATGTTCCTGTGTTTCTGCCTCACACCCAGCCTCCCAGGAGGTGAGAAAGTGACACTTGTTCAGGCTACACACACTTTGAAATCCCGATTGGCTCAGCTAACAAGAAGGGACAAGTAGAGACTGAGTCTTAATCCAAGGGTGTGCCTAATGGCTCTGAGCTATTCCTTCCCCTCCATGCTGTCTATTTAAAATGACAAAAATGCATAAGACAACAGCAGAATGCAGTTTGAGTTAACAAGGTGTAGAGCTGGATGAACACAGCAGGCCAAGCA